CAAACTGCTAGTTTTAATGTTGTTGCTAAACCAGACAATTGGTGCTGTTTCGCGTCCATGCACTGCATGTGCTAAAAGAACATGGAGTAACAGCCTGATCAAACAGTATCGCAGGCTAATAGAAGAAAGGAGATGCCACTTCGCCATGCAAATCTGGAGAAATCATAGGAGTTATAATATATTTGCGCTGTCATGTTTTTCTCTGAGCAAAGAAACCTGCCTATTTATGGACCAATTACATAACAATAAATATGGTTGGTGCTTGATTGATTGATTACACACATGGCGCTTTCACTATTTTGACGCAACAAGCAGAAATAGCCGCTTTAAACAAAATTTCTACAAGCTACTGACTGGTCAAGGGGTAGAGAATAGGCTGTTCACAGAAATGATTTTCTTTCGAACATTACGTGCAGTCGTCAAGAAACTGAAAAACTGTCACAGATCAATTTAACTATTAGTACAAACGTTCATTTCTGAATAAAGTATAATCAGAAAGTTCACATTCGATACCAATGCTATGGACAAAACAAACAACCTATGACAGCGAACGAATTTCGACAACAACTCCCAGATCTATCCTGACCCAGTGGTTAGACTAACAAATGCATTTGTATATATAAACGATAGGCACGGTTTTAGAAAAGACTCATCTAAAAGAAAAGGCATATGCTGACTCTGCGAGAAGCCAGATTCGGCTATTTTTTTTACCTTCCTATACAACGCTAATCTCTGCGCTGGAAATATGCTAATCTCTTTCTAACCTGCAGTCTCGAATCTATCTCAGTTCATTTTTTGAAGCGACACAGGCATTAGCATCGTTTTTTACAAGATTCCTTCATGTGTTTTGCTCAAAGCGACCGTAGTGACATTTTTTATTAATCCGGAGTTATTTAATGACGCGATGACATACAACAATGTGTAACTTAAGTCTTTTTAATGCCTCTGTAAAAACCTTCTCCTTCGGAGACACTACCATATTCTGCAGTTTTCGCATCTACGTTTTATAATTCCTGTTTGGCCATTATATCGGCAGGGAAAGACAGGATAACCAGTCAATTTTATATCCCATCTTTGCTGCATTGATGCGAGACATCTGATCTTTCACGTTCGCTGTAAAACTGATATTAAAACTAACCTTCTACTGAATTATGTTGTCTGTACCGTGGTGTTTTACTGATTATTAAATTTTAATTGACATAAATCGCAAAATAGCGTTTTCGAATTATACCAGGCATTTACCTTCGTAAATTCGTGCACCCGGTAGAGGCCACTAGTGAGGTTTCCGCTGGCTGCCTCTGGCCGGAAACAGCGACTTTGTGCGACGTATCGTCGTGGTAGTTCTTCCAGCCGAAACATTTGACCTTGCAGGAAAGAAGAGATTCCCATTTCCGCCGTCCCTGACAGACAGTAATCCGGGTACTTCTTCAGAGTATAAGCTATGTTTTTCTCGCTTCGATTCATGAGTCCGCATTTCATGGCGATTTCGCTGCCGATGATATCCGGCACGGTGATCAACTGAAATCCTTTCTTCAGCAACCGGTTAACAACTATTCTGACCAACGTCCTCTCGATGATGGCCAACTGGCTGAGTAGAAAATACGCTTTATCACTACAACACTGCGCAACATCGGAACGAAGAAGTCGGAACTTTATGGCTAGCTCCTCTGCTTTGCGAACCTTGAAATTCATCATCCTTTTCTCTCCGTGGACGAAAACCGTTTTGGCGTTGCATTTAGGTCCTGAAAGCGAGCACTGACATATTTCAATGAAGGGTCTTTCTTTCATTCAACAAACCTTATAATATATCTTCGAAAGAAACTTCTGTAAAGACCATCGCTGGCATGATAACACCAAGCAAACTCACAGCTTTATAAATCACAAAACGCATAATCCAAGAACA